CTGGGGGATCTGTGGGCTTAGATCCCAGGGGATCCCTGGGGTTGGATCCCGTGGGATCCCTGGGGGGTGGATCCTGGGGGATCTGTGGGCTTAGATCCCAGGGGGTCCCTGGGGGTGGATCCCGGGGTTGGATCCCGGGGGATCCGTGGGAGCGGATCCCATGGGATCTATGGGGTTGGATCTTAGGGGATCCCCGGGGGAGGATCCCGGGGGATCTACGGGGGTGGATCCCGCGGGGTCTAGGGGGGCAGATCCCAGGGGATCCCTGGGGGTGGATCCTGAGGGAGCTCTGGGGGCGGATCCTGGGGGATCTGTGGGCTTAGATCCCAGGGGATCCCTGGGGGTGGATCCCAGGGGGTCCCTGGGGGCGGATCCCGGGGGATCCCTGGGGCGAATCCCAGGGGATCTGTGGGGGTGGATCCCGGGGGATCCCTGGGGGCGGATCCCAGGGGATCTGTGGGGGTGGATCCCGGGGGATCCCTGGGGGCGGATCCCGGGGGATCCCTGGGGGTGGATCCTGGGGGATCCCTGGGGCGGATCCCAGGGGATCTGTGGGGGTGGATCCCGGGGGATCTACGGGGGTGGATCCCGCGGGGTCTAGGGGGGCAGATCCCAGGGGATCCCTGGGGGTGGATCCTGAGGGAGCTCTGGGGGCGGATCCTGGGGGATCTGTGGGCTTAGATCCCAGGGGATCCCTGGGGGTGGATCCCAGGGGGTCCCTGGGGGCGGATCCCGGGGGATCCTGGGGGCGAATCCCAGGGGATCTGTGGGGGTGGATCCCGGGGGATCCCTGGGGCGGATCCCAGGGGATCTGTGGGGGTGGATCCCGGGGGATCCCTGGGGGCGGATCCCGGGGGATCCCTGGGGGTGGATCCTGGGGGATCCCTGGGGCGGATCCCAGGGGATCTGTGGGGGTGGATCCCCGGGGAGGTTTGGGATTGGATCCCAGGGGAGCTCCGGGAGCGGATCTCAGGGGATCTATGGGGGCGATCCCAGGGGAGCTCCGGGATCATTGAGGGGTTGGGGATGGGATCGGATCCAGAGGAAGCTTTGGGATCACTGATCGGATCCAGAGGAAGGTTTGGGATCACTGATGGGATCAGATCCAGAGGAAGGTTTGGGATCATGGATGGGATCCAGAGGAAGCTTTGGGATCACTGATGGGATCAGATCCAGAGGAAGGTTTGGGATCACTGATGGGATCCAGAGGAAGCTTTGGGATCACTGA